GAAACAAATATATATATATATATATATATATATATATATATATATATATAGAGGAGGGATAAAATACAAACCAAACCATTTGTACAAACCGTACAAACCTCATTCAAACAATCATAAATTTTCTTTTCTTTTTCACCTTTCTTAATTATAAGGGTGATTAGTCATTTTTATTGTGGATGACCTTAATTATGGACATTATCATCTTTATTATATAATTTTAGAAAACAAATTTTATCAAAATGAAAAATATATAAAACAATTTCATTTTTAAATAGAAATAAAACATATGGAACAATTTCATTAAGAAAAAAAATATATGAAACAATTACATTAAATTAAACAATGAAATCGATGAAAACCCGAGAACGTTCTTATCATATGTGATCAAACTTGAAAGGGGACCTAGTGCTATGCAAACGACATGCTTGTGACCTAGGTCGAGTCAAAAGTCGTCTGTATCTTTGATTTAGCATCACATATGATGGATTATAATATCGCATCAAGAAAACATATCACATGTGATATTATAAATGAGGGGAACTAGTGGTGTTGTGCCAAAGGTTTTTTGTGTCTATGATTTAATATCAAATATGTATCATATGTGATGAAATTTAGTATCATATGTGATTGACTATGGTAAAAAGTGTTCTCGTTTGAACTCTTCCCCCCTCCTATCTCTCTCTCTCTCTCTCTCTCTCTCTCTATATATATATATATAGGGTCGAGTTTTGATGAGAAGAAAAGTTATGGTGAGAGACATAAGAGGAGATCTCCATCTTTATATCAATCCTAATTGAATGTCAACACTAATCAGGTGAATGTCAACACTAATCAGGTGCACTAAGATGTACCTCATCAATTCTCTTCTAAAGCACAATTCATGGGTGGGCATGAGATTCAAAGTGATCAAGACTTCATATCTCTTCTTACGTTTCTCAACATAACTTTCCTTCTCACACGATCCTTCACACACACACACACACACACACATATATATATATATATATATATATATGGTTGGGTTCAAGTGACACAACATGTTTTCATAAGACCCGTGTGACCATATTTTTAAATTTGAAACTCCACAATAGAACATTATGAAGGTAAAAAAAAATATGAACCTTCACAACAAAAACAAGGTGAAAGTAACATTCAAAGTATTTTTTTGTGAAGTTTCACGTGTAAAAAGATAGTCTCATGGTTTCATGAAAACAACATGATCTCACATGATCCCATGTGTGTGTGTGTGTATATATATATATATATACACGAAGAATCATGTGAGAATGAGAGTTAAAGTGAGGAGCGTAAGAAGGGATCTCGACACTTGATCATCTTTAATCTCAAATCCACCCATAAATCATGCTTGATATGGTGATTGATCTGATGCATCTCATCCTAATATGCCTCTAAGGGTGAAGTTCTCTTCTTACGCTTCTTACCTTAACTCTCATTTTTACTGGATACCAACCCTATATATATATATATATATATATAGAGAGAGAGAGAGAGAGAGAGAGAATAGCAGGAACGTTTAAATAAGTTTGATTCGTGATCGGATCATAAAAACCTACTTTCTGAAGATCCCTTCCTTCTCTTCAGGATCGAACATCAATTGCAACAAGAGATAGATGTAGATGAAAAAGAACCCCCCCTAGAATCGTATAGGAAGTTTTCTTTTCGTACGACTAGAGAAAAAATGATTCGAAGTTTTGTTTATGGATAAAATTATAATAAATAGGAATAGAATCCGTAAAATAAATTAGCTTGTAATTTAACTCATATCAATTTAGCATCCTTCCTGAAAAATAAAAAACCATTTGTATCATCCCATATTAGCTAGCATGGCATACTCCTGTTCGAACCGAGATTTGAAACCAAACTTCTCAGGATGATAGATAGGACGATTCAGGTGAGATCCAATGTAGATCCAACTTTTAATTCACTCGTGGGATCCAAGCGGTCCGGGGGAGACCACCATGGCTCCTCTTTTCTCGAGAATCCATACATCCCTTATCAGTGTTTGGACAACTATCTCTCGAGCATAGGTTTAGGTTCGACCTCAATGGGAAAATAAAATGGAGCACCTAACAACGCATCTTCACAGACCAAGAACTACGAGATCACCCCTTTCATTCTGGGGTGACGGAGGGATCATACCATTCGAGCCTTTTTTTTTTATGCTTTTCCTTGAGATTTGGAGAAAGCTAAAATCAATAGAATTTTCCTAATCCTCCCTCAGGAAGAGCGTGAAATTCTTTTTCCTTTCCGTGGAATATATGAATATATATATATATAGATATATTAATTAATTTATTTATTTATATGTGTGTGTATATGTATGAGACTCATTACTTCAGTTAGTCCCTATGTTAGAAAAAAAAAAGCCAAAAATAGGTTTTGAATCTTTAGCACAATTCATATATTCATTTATTTATTTATAGGCACGCACACACACACACACACAGGGGGGGTCGGGAAAAAACCCCAAAAAATGAAAAATTGAGAAACATCCCTATAACCATTCGTCTAGAAGGTATGTACATGAGCATACAAGTAATTGAAGATGTTTTTTTTGGTGAGAATTAGAGAAGTGATCCTAAATGTTCATATATATAGTCATTTGAGAAGTTATAAATGTGTGAGAATTAGAGAAGTGATCATAGTACTTCATCTGGTCAACATTTGTGGATTTGACTGTGAAGCACTGGATAATTCGGTCACATGGTATGTGGAAGATAAATGGTTAGTTTTGCAATTTTTACAAATAGGCGGCAAACAAATGCATATTTGAACCCGTGATGAATTATCTATGCATATGTGAAGTCGTGTATTCACGTATGAACTATTTAACTAATTCACACATAAACTATTTAACTAATCACACGGGTTCATATGTGTATCAGTTAAATAGTTCATATGTGAATCACACGGGTTCATATATGCACTTGTTTATCGCCTATTTGTAAATATTAAGAAACTGCGCTCTATATTTTTCATAGTTGTTACCATGCCGCATATCTTGACCAGTCAAAGTTGTAAATCTTGATCACTCAAAACTGCAAATTTTTTAATGAAGAGTTAAGATCACTTCTTTACTTTTTAAATACTTCTCACCTCTCAATTAAACCCATGGCTATGTATATAGTAGTAAATAGTAAATTTTAATTTTAAATACTATAAGATAAAACCATATCAAAGTTTTTTTTGAAATGATGAATTTCCTTTTCAGTTATATATTGTCTAAATTCTAAGGACCACACAAGAGAAGCTATTAAGTTTATAGATATTTTCTTGCCCATACTTTCTTTTGTTCATTGAATTTGCTATTTTTATCAAACTTTACATTATCTTCTGGCAATGATAAACAGAAAACTTTATATATATATATATATATATATATAGAGTATATTTTAAATGCGACCATATTTATTTGTATAAATCATGCACCCCAATTATATATATATATAGAGGTTGGTTATTATACAATCCATGACATTTATGCAACCAATACAACCCAATCTTAATCGTCCATTTCATTTGATTAATATGTGATTTCATAGAAGTTTTGATTGTTTCCTAATATAAAGTATTGATCATAATTAATGAACCATATTCATCTTCCATAAATATTTAAATCATAATAAATGAACTTTCATCATTTCCATAAATATCTTCATTTATTGGGTTGCATTGGTTGTACAAATGCGACAGGTTGTATTTGAAACAAACACACTCTCTCTCTCTCTCTCTCTATATATATATATAATCCATAATATTATAAAATAGTAGAAACTTTGAAATGAATTTGTTTTCTTTATAATTTTTACAAGAAAGGGTAAGAATACATTTTTCATGTGAAATAATGGCATACATGTATATCTCAAAAGCAACGACCTTGAACACTTAGAGCATTATTAAAGAGTCTTTGGTCTAACGATATTGTAATCTTTAGCCTCCTAGAAGATCAAATTTCAAACTTTACCCCAAAGATGAGGAGGGTTTGTGAATTTATTTGTTGCATTTGCCGTATACAATAGTGTATACTTAAAAAAACACTCAGACCATCTCCAATAAATTTTCCAAAGTTTTTTTAAACCAAAATTAATTATACTACATAAAACCAATTACAATCCTTAGTTCTGATTTTATGCATTCAATATTTATTTATTAAAAAGAGCAAAGAAAGACAAGTAATTTAACATGCAAAATATAAACTCATATAAAAATATATATTAAAAACATTATTCAAACTATTATTGATAATTTTTAAATAATTATATCGATATAAATGAAATATATTTTTACCAACTTAAATCATAACAAATATATTGAATGCATGTTTGTTAGCAGTTTAATGAGTTTAATAGGATTCACAACTCATTTAATCGTCTATATATTGGTAATGACTTACAATTATATAAAAAATGACTTATTCAGTAAGTTTTTAAAAGAACTTTATGTAGGAAGATAAAAAAAAATTCAAACATGTCCCTCCTTGTTAAAAAAACGCTTCTTCCATTGAAAATCCTCTCAAACAAAAACTTTCACAATCTATTCAAACTAATTTATTCATACATACAATTTTATTCATACAGAATTTAATGAAAAACAACCCAACAACTTAGACATGTTTTTTTTTTATTAACCTGGATATTCAACCCGTTTTGCAGATAGTCTGGAATCATCGTATTTGAATATACGTGGTCATAAAGAGATTTTTATTCCTTCTTAAATTAGAAATTGATATGATTTACTATACGCAAAAGTAGATAAGAACCCTGGAAGGACATACTTTTTTGACAGTGAAATATTGTCTATCAAGAACTTCAAAGCTTATTGGATAGAGATTAAGAGAAGGTCGATCAGATCCAGGGGTAGGGTAGTAATTTCACATGATAATTCCCAAGTGGAAACCCCCTTCTTTGGCCTCCCCATTTTTCTCTCCCTATCCTTGATGTTCTTATAACCCCCCACCAAGCTCTTCTCCCCACACAAAACTCTCTCTCCCTCTCTCTCTCTCTCTACATATATACATATATATATCTATATCTATCTCTCTCTCTCTCTATAGATACATAATAATACATGTCTCTCTCTCTTTCTCTGTCTAAAAGACACACATTTGCATGGTTTTCATGCTCCAAATCAGATTGTAATTCATGGGTGTGATCTCTCTCTGCAATCACATGACTGTAATTCTAATCACTTGCTTTTTTAGGCATAAGCCCCATCTCCCAATGATTATCTAACTTTGACCACTACCCAAAATAAAAAGAGAGTCAAAACAGGAAGTTCAAAAAGGCAAATGGAGGGTGGAGTGGTGTTTGAAGCTTTGCTCCAAAACCAAAGGCTCACTTTTTCTTCAGATGGGTTTGATTCTCCATGGATTTCCAACTCCTTTCAGGGTAATCCTCCAAATCTTCATTCTTCAATTGTTTTATGCTCAACATTTTAATATAATAATTTAAAGATAATCATCACTTTCAATCATTTGAAGCTTGTAACACATGTTTTTGCCAAATTCATGTCTGAATTTCATCTTAACCATCATAAGTCTTTATTCGTGTGCGAACTTGTACTTTGTAGTTGCTATATGCACAATCATCGGTTTTGCAAATAAAAATCGGATATGGTTTGGTATTTTAACAAGAAAGATGAGAATTGGGAAAAAATTCCATTAATATGGTTCATATTTGACAACCCTTTATAGGAGAGAAGACGAATACGAAAAAACGGCTTTCCGAACAAGAGGAGAACTCCGATGAGGACTACGAAAAGTGTTTCCGGCCAACGGAGAAGAAAAGGCGATTATCGGTGGATCAAGTTCAATTTCTTGAAAGGAGTTTTGAGGAGGAAAATAAGCTTGAGCCGGATAGGAAAATTCAGCTCGCAAAAGAGCTTAATTTGCAGCCAAGGCAGGTTGCAATCTGGTTTCAAAATCGTCGAGCACGTTGCAAGACGAAACAGCTCGAGAAAGACTACGAGATCTTGAATTCAAGCTACGACAAACTCAAATCGGAATTCGATTGCCTCCAAAAACACAATGACAAATTAAAACACGAGGTATTTGTCATAAAAAGCACAGTGATTAACAATTTTTGTATTGAAGTTGCATTTACATGTTTATAACCTATTTACATGTTCTAATAGGTTGAAATGCTCAAGGAAAAGTTGCATCAAAGGGAGAAAGGGGAAAAAGATTCAATCCCAAATGAATTCCCCACAGAAGAATTGGATTCAAATGCTCAGGAACCAAAACCACATCCGATTTCAATCGAAAATTGGAGCAATAATGAACCAAAAATGGTGATCTGCAAGCAAGAATATGCGAATTCGGTTTCCGCAAAAAGCGACGTGATCGATTCTTACAGCCCAGATGTGAACCATTCTTCATTTCTAGAGCCTTGTGATTCTTCGAACGTCTTCGAAAACCAATCCGATTTCAACCAAGAAGAAGATAACTTGACCATTCTTCGGTGTCCAAAGATCGAGTACGAATCATATATTGACCCGAATGAGGGTTCTTTAGGATACCCTATTGAAGATCAACCGTTTTGGCTTTGGCCTTAAACTTTGAAGGTTTTTGATCAACCCTTTTTGGATTTGGCCTTAAACTTTGAAGAGTTTCAATTTGATCAAGATTCTGAATGAGGGTTCGTTAGGGTAGCCTTAGATCAACCTCTTTGGGTAGTTGCCACAAGGGTTTATGATCAAGATTCCCAATTGGTGTCTGTGGAGTACCCTTTTCAAATCATCCTTTTGGTTTTGACCATACAACTTTTTCTGTATTTGTAATCAAGGTTTCATCACATTTGTAGGCTTTGATCAATTTTCAAGTAGGATACTGTGGTTGTATCTAGATTCTAGAAATAGATGTCAATAAAAACATGTCCCTTTTTTCATCTTTTTTACCCATACTCCTTTAATTTACCATTTTCCCATGCATCACTACTTGGTTGTACATTTGTGATGAATGTATTGCCTACTTGTACTTCTCCCATGGAATAGTTATCACTTCTCAAGTAGAGTCATCTTTCTGAATGTTATAACATGACTTTCTTCAAATCTTATTCTTTGTTGTTTTGGTTTAGGAACCAGATGATCGATCTTCTTTTTACTTTTCGAAGTGGGATTACTTATTTGAAACAACTTATATTTTTTTACAAAAGTATTTATCAAATTATTATAAGTGTGAAGAGTTTAACTTCTTTAAAAACTCTTTATTACTGGTTTGTTACCAGTATAAATTGTTTATCCAAACACTCAAACGTATTTATTACCGGTGTCACATCATCGGTTTCTTTCGTAGCGTTATCATGAGCTTGAATTGCAAAAGCAAACTAATCCTAACATAACCAAATTGGTTTGTTAATTTGGCTAGGTAACATTGATCGATCGTGGTTAATTTCATAAATTCTTAAAAATAGTTTTAACATTAAATTGGCGTAAGTGAATAGTAAAATACTGGATTTGGTATACGTGTTATTCATCAACATCAAATTGGCATATTGTTTTAGTGAAATGATGAGAAAAATGACAGTAATATATGGGATTTTGATGTTGGATTGAAGATATTTTTACCCGGTATAAACAATTAGTACCATATAACTAACCTTTTAATCTTGAATTTTGATCATTAATCATTGGAATAACTAAATTCTATATCTATGTTATAATCAAGAAAATAGTTTATAATTTGTTTATAATGTTATATTAAAGTTGTTCAGCTTTATATATATATATTCAAAACTAAACCAGATATATTCAAACCAAATTAAACCAGATATATTTGTTTTCGTTTAAGCATTCATTATTTAGGGTTCGATCCATAAAATCCAAAACTAATAGTCCGGCTAAGTGTTTACCGAAAAAATTTAACGCTATTACGTACTTACCTGCTAAAATTTTAATCCACCAAAACAGTATCGTATGTAACAATTTACCAGTAAGCATTAAACCATGGTAAGAGTCGTCAACTTCATTTATTGGGTAAGACTCTCGATCATTGCCTTCGTTCTTATCAGATATGTTTTTTAGTTTTTGTCATATTAATTCGATAARATAATATGAATTGACAAACATTTATTTAAATAAGACGTTTGGTAAACGCAACCTAGGCTACCCTATGCGGTTTATGACTCTAATGAACATTGAATCAACCTGTACCTTTACTGATATGATATTTACTATATACAAATAATAATCTATCATCAAAAATTTTAATTAGAATTAAATTAAATTTTGCTCCATGTGGTTTGTTATTTTTTGGGTCTTTATAATTTTTTTATTGCAAAAAAACCCTTATGATATTTAAAAATGTTTGGTTTTAGTCCCTCATTAACACCGTTAAATATATTCGTTAAATCAAAGAGTAATATGGTCTATTACAATTCTTTTCTCATATTTTTCTTTAAAATTGTAATTGATTAACATAGTACATCTAATATTAATTATAATATACATAAAAATGAATAATATCCTCAGTTCTCGTTAGGGGTGAGCAGCGGAACCGGGTATTCGGTTATGGAACCGGAACCGCCTTGGAACCGATATGAGTGGTTCCGGTTCCTAAAATACGGAACCGATTGAGAATGGTTCCGGTTCCGGGTTTTCAATTTTTCGGAACCGTTACCCGCCGGGTACCCGGTATTTTTAAATAAAAAAATTATTATTATTTTTTAATACCAAATTTATATTAGGTTTACATCTTGAAAGCACGCCGTCATCTTCATTCTTCATCTAAATTCTTCATATAGAATGATTCGTATTTTTTTAAATTGTGTGTTCACTTGGATTCATAGTATGTAATCGTTAAACTTGGAAAATTTACCATTATAGTATGTAATCGTTAAACTTTGAACATTTTCTATTAGTCTATTATGGTTTGTAATCGTTAAACAATATTTGTAACCATTATTATATATAATTTGTATTCTTGCTTATTTATTTAGTGTTTTGGCAATGTTTTATTTTTTATTTCTAAATAACAAAATTTTAATATTTTAGGAAGCGGGTACCCGGAACCGGAACCGGTTCCCGGCGGTTCCGGTTCCGGTTCCAAAAATTTAAGAACCGCTTTAACCGGTTCCGGTTCCAATATCTCAAGAACCGCCGATTCTGGTTCCGGTTTATGTCAAAAAGGGCAGATACCCACCCCTAGTTTTCGTTATAAAAAAACGAAGACAACAAGATCTGGATGGAGAGGATAAAGAAGCACAGCCGGTTGTGGGGGTCCATTTGTTTTTTATTTTAGTTTCTAGAAGAAAATGGAAAAGAAACTCATTAATTAACGGTTGGGATTTAACTCCTGTTTGTAGGAGGGACCAAAACCAAATACTTTTACATATCCAAGAAAAACAAGGAACCATAGAGACCAAAATTGCAATTTACTCTTTAATTAATAAAATATTGTATATTTTACATATTCTATATATATATATTTTTAAAGAAATACATAACATAAAAAAAACTGTTGTTGAATTAATTTAATGACGCATGACAACATGGTTCTGAAATGTAGCGGAAAAAGGAGTGAAGAAAATGAGGGCTTCCCCCCTGTGAAAAGGTCAAGTTCTATGAATGCTTCACTTTAATGTATTTTTTTTTTCTAATTGGAAAATGACATTTTGCCTAATTTGGCCTATTTATGCTGTTGACGTATTTGTTTTTAGTGATTATTTATTGTAATATTTTATCAAAAAAAATCTTCAGTGATGATGTAATTTTCTACTTGAAAATTCTATTAATTTCTTCTAAAAACAATTGAAAAATCAATAGCATTCGTATTTGAAGTAAATATCATTTCTGATGGATTTCTATATTCACCGATTGTGGGTTTCTACATCGCTTTTACATTTTACTGAATGAAACATAATTATTTATACTACAAATAAATATTTATAACAAATTAAATTTCATTCTAAATTCTATAGACGAAACAAGATTCATATAAGAATTAAATCCAATTCTATTACGAGTCCTACAAATCAAATATTGTAGATCTTAAATCCCTTAAAAATATTTGTCAAAACTAACAGAACATTTTTGAAGTCCAAATGCGTTATATCGAAAATTATGTCTCATTTATGAGACGAGAAATAGTTCTGGATATAATAGTTGCAAAAGTCAATTACTCATCTAGATGTACCACTTATATTTTATATTTTTTGATTTTTTTAAAGGTAAGTGGTATATTTTTTTTTTTTATTAACCTGCATATCCAACCCGTTATGTAAGCCGACTAATTCCAGAAAAACCATCTGCTTTGCAGGTAGCCCGGAGTCACCGCATTAGAACTTCCGTGGTCACAATATGATTTTTATTCCTCCTTGAATTTGAACATGTGATCTTCTGATAATTTTGACCTTTAGAGTTAAACTCAAACCAATAAAATGGTATATTTTAATAATAAAATAAAAAGATATGTGACAAAAATATTCAATTATGTACAAAATATATTTTATTCTCATAAGGAATATATAAAACCTTTATAATCAAATATAAAAATTACTTTTTACTCAATTTTCAAAGCCTCATAGCCTTATTTAATCTGAATCTTTAAAAGCATAAATGATATTCTTTTCTATCTTATTTATATATTTTTAATAGCAAAAGTATAAAAAGATAAAACAAAAATGTTTTCCCAAACATTGTTTTCTATTTTAATTTTGTTCTTTCATTTTCAATATTTAAGTCTATTTGGTGAAGTCACATTTGGTGGGTTCTCATATTTAATGCTGAAAATAAATGAAGCCCTTTTGTTAAAAAAAAACAATTAATCCAATAAATAAGAGTTATAAGTGTGAAAGCTTTGTTACCAACAATACCTTACTCCATCCATTCATTTTGTTTCATTATCAATTATCAATATCTGATAGATAAATCATGTATATAACAACTTATTAAATCATTAATTTAAAAATCCAATTTTTAAAAGAATTGTAATTTTCATACTACGACTATGAGACCTGAACACTCACATGTTCATACAAATACACCACAATTTAATCCACTGTGTTACGTTAGGATGGTACTTAAAATTATCCTTTTTTTTAACCTCGTTAAGTCAGCTTAACTAGTAAAAAGATTTGGGTATTTAGGAATTCTTCTTATAAATCATCGGTTTGAGTAATGCAAGGTCACTGATGATTTTCAGATTGGTTTTTACGACTCTTGGAATTAATCGAAATATGTAAAAATTAATCCGGACATCTAAAATTAAAAAAAAGAAATTCTTTTTAAAAAACTGCAAAAAATATGTCGTTTATATATTTAAAAGTTCATTTAAATTGGTTCCACGGGTCGAGGGAGATTTACATAAAGATTGAACTGATAGTCAGATGGAAAGCTGGGTTTTGATGCAACAATTGTTGGTGCTGATATTGATCAGATAATATTCACCGTACACGTGTCTGTCAAGATGGCCACAGTCTACACGATTACGTGTTCCAAATGACAAGCATATCATCCAGCGTACACCACAGCACATCTGTTATAATCGTGTGACCCACCAGCAGGGCCGTTGATAGGACACCATGCCACACGTGGCATCCGATTAGCGGTGTTTGGAAGACTTGTCCAGTTTTTAAGGGGAGCTGGGGCCTGGTCTGCTGTTGACAGGACCATTGATGTATATTTTAGAGTAAATTCTAGATTTGGTCCCTGTGGTTATATCAAAATTATGGATTAGGTCCTCCAATAGAATTAATTATAGATATTATCCTTATAGTTTATTTTTGTTGTAGATTGGATCCCTTATCTTAATTTTGTCAACCTAAATTCTGTTAAGTTAGAGGTGTTTTGGTGATTAATTTTCAATTTTAACTGCAATTTTAAATATTTTTTATTTTATAATTATATATATATATATATTTAAAATTTCACATCAAAACCCAGTGTTATGAAGATTC